CTGTCGAAGAGTTTGCCATGCAATCAGACCTTTCTTCATCTGCGTGTGTGCTGCATGTGTGCTGCATGTGTGCATGTATGTCTAATAGAAATGATAGGAACAACAACAACATGAACAGAAACTAAAGAGACTCTACTAACGAACTGGTAACTGCTGAAGCTGACACACTCATTCAAGGCATTAGTGAGACAGTTTCCGTGCTGGCGTGAGGAGCAACAAGGTGGCTGAAGGAGAGCAGGTTCTTTTTTTTTGTTGTTTGTTTATTTATTTGTTTGTTTTTTTTTTAAGAAAAACACCACAGGGAGAATACCAGGAACCAAATTCGGTGAGAGGGGTTCACAGGTGGAGTCGGGTAACAGGCTTGATGCTGAGGAGAGGTGGTTTCGTTTTAACGATGGGAGACTGACCTACACTGAGGTGAGGGAGGAGAGAAACGTGTGTGTGTCTGTGCGTGCGTGTGTGTGCGCGCGTGGGCGTGGCATCTGACAGATCTGTGACGGGGAGAGACCAGCTGGCTGGACTGGAAGATGATGTTTACGATAAGATGTTGGACATGAACTCGTAGAATCGTTTGGAGTACTGCTCCGGGTTCACTGTCGAGATCTCGGCCCCCGCCTGCGAACAAAAAACATAAACACGATTTAGATGAAGTGACACATGTGATAAAGTACACAGCAACACACATTTCAAGAGAAAGAAAACAAACCTTTCAGGGAAAACCACACACAAAATCTGTTACCACGGCGACTGTGTCAGACAAAGCAATAATAATTATAAAAGCATCTTTAAATGACAGAGACATTAGACTACAGGCTGCGGCGATCAATCGCGCCATGTGATTAACATCATCAGGAAGGAGGCGCTGGTTAGAAAGAAAGGCTTCCAGTCCACGGGGCCACGCCTGGGCAGCTTTTGTCTCGTCGTGTTTACGGCGGCACGCGGCTGAGCAGCAAAACAAACAGCCGGTGACGAGCAGAGCGCTAATCTTAACACTCACCCCATGTTTCACAGTTTTGGCAGCATGTGCAGCTTTTTTCTTAGCGTCATAGTGTGTGAGAATGTCGATGATCGCCATGAAGTATACCTCCTTCTTCACAGCACCTGTGGAGAACGCCACGAGGAGATTTTATTAAAACAAACGAAACGGCCGATAAAGACGGCGTTAATCTGCCGGCTGCGAATTTCAGTAACACTCGTGTTAAAGGCGGCGCTCACTGTCATGGCTCTTGATCGCGTAAACATCCACAGAGGGGTCGAACTCCCCGGGGCCGAAAAACCCGCCGCAGTTCAGAGGGTTGCCGGGACTGTCGGGAGGCGTGCCGAAAGAGCCCGTTAACACGCCTCCTCCCATCCCGTCGTTCTCGTACTCCTCGTCCTCCCCCGTGCCCTCCACGTCCATCTCCTCCTGCTCCGCCCGCTCCACGTCGTGGATGCCCACCAGGAGACTGTAGTCCATGATCTTCAGAGTGGCCAGGAACTAAAACACACAGGAAACACTTGGTTCAAAACCTCTGCATCACAGAGCGGTCGCCGTTCCGGTCTTTCAGACTAACGTTTGGAATCATTTGACAAATTAAATTTCAAGTAACAGCTGTTAAAATATTCATGTGATGGTTAAATAAGTGAGGCATGCAGCGTTTACAGACAGTAAGGTTTCAGAAACATTTACTGATTATACCAGGAGGAGGCTGATTTGAACTTTTAG